TATCAAATCCTTATTATATACCTGAAACTAATATAATATTGTTTATCAATTTTAACTCAATTTATTTTATTTTTTTAAAGATTTTATTTACTTATTTGACAGAGATCACAAGTAGGCAGAGAGGCAGTCAGAGAGAGAGAGAGAGAGAGGAGGAAGCAGGCTCCCTGCTGAGCAGAGAGCCTAACGTGGGGCTTGGTCCCAGGACCCTGGGATCATGACCTGAGCAGAAGGCAGAGGCTTTAACCCACTGGGTCACCCAGGTGCCCCATTATAACTCAATTTAAAAAGAAGTAACTAGCAAGGTGAATTTTTAAATTGCAATTTAAAAATTAATTCAGATTATCTTCTATACAGCTCTAACATGTAAGCAATCACTTATTCAGAAAATATTTGTCATCTTATTCTCATGTGTGCTTGACATTGTGCGTGGTTTTTAGGATGGAAAAAGCATGGTCTTTGAGTGACCCCAATATCAAATAACTCTTAGGCTTTGTGGAAGATAGACATATAAACCAACTTCTATAATACTTCATGATCAGTGCTGTGATAGAGCTATGTACAGGCTGCTATCAAAGTATGGATTCCTGCCACTAGATTCATCCCCTTATTTAGGGCATGATAAAGAAATGAAAGGTTTATCTTTATTTCCCTTGGCTGTGTGTATCACATATTTCTCCCTTTAGCCTCAGCTCTGTCTCCTATCAAGCTCTGTGACCTTGCTGTCTGAGCCATTCTATGCTCTGACCACAGAGTAAGATTAAGCTTCCATTTTCTAGGTGTGGCGACGGGAGTTTTCCCAGGTCCAGAGCTGGAAGTTCTATTAGGATGGTAAAAATGTGAGTTAATAGAAGTGCAAATGTATTTTTCAAGGAGCCTTTTCTAAGGTGAGAGCCACAGGTTATCTCAAGAGGAAAAAAATGGAATATGTAATTAAGGCAAAAATAAACTATTGGCCCTATGAACTAACACCTGTGTTATGAGGATAAGCAAGTTTGCATCTTCTATAGGGCCTAAGGGGTGATTCCTTAGCATTTTAAAAAAAAGATTTTATTCATTTATTTGATAGAGCATAAGCTGAGGGAGCAGGAGACCGAGAGGGAAAAGCAGGCTCCCTGCTGAGAAAGGAGCCCAGAAGTGGACTCAATCCCAGGACCCTGAGATCACGAATGGAGTGTAAGACAGATGCTTAACTGACTGAACCACCCAGGCACTCCAACGTTTGGTTTTTCTTTAAGATTTGATTTAGGGGCACCTTGGTGACTTAGTTAAGCATCTGCCTTCAGGTTAGGTCATGATCTTGGGGTCCTGGGATAGAGCCCCACATCAGGATCCCAGCTTGGTGGGGAGCTTTCTTCTCCTTCTCCCTCTCCCCCTGCTTATGCACTCTTTGTCAAATAAATAAATAAGATCTTTTAAAAAGAGAGAGAGATTTGGGGTGCCTGGGTGGCCCAGTGGATTAAAACCTCTGCCTTCAGCTCAGGTCATGATCCCAGGGTCCTGGGATCAAGCCCCGCATCGAGCTCTCTGCTCAGTGGGGAGCCTGCTCCCCCCCCCCCACCGCCTGCCTCTCTGCCTATTTGTGATCTCTCTCTCTCTGTCAAATAAATAAATAATTTTTTTAAAAAGAGAGATTTAATTTGGATTTTTTCAATTTATACCTGGAATATGAAAATAATTGCACCCAAAATGAAGGCTTCTTAGAGTATGGTCATCCAAAGTTCTTTATAAAGTAAGGTAGATTTATGGTGTAGAGACTGCAATATTTTATGTGGGTTGTTAAAAGGCTGTAGTGATTTTTATGGCTTCATTCTGTATTATCATCCCAATACCCCTATTCTTCATTTTTTAAAAAGGACTTTATTTTTTAGAGCAATTTTAAGATCACAACAGAATTGAGAAGCAGATGCAGAAATTTCCACATACCCCCTGACCCTGTGCAAGTATAGCCTCCCTCATTATCAACATCACTTACCAGAGTGGTACATTTGTTCTAACTGATGAACTTATATTGACAAACTATAAATACCCAAAGTCTGTGGTTTATATTGGGAGTCATGATGCTGTACATTCTATGGATGACATGTATCTACCATTATAGCATCATACAGAGTATTCTCAGGGCCCTAGAAATCCTCTGTGCTGCCCCTCTGCACCCCCCCACTCCCCACAACCCCTGATCTTTGAACTGTTCATGCTTCTGCTTTTTCCAGAATGTTTTAGAGCTCAAATCATATAATATGTAGTCTTTTCAGATTGACTTCTTTCACCTAGTGACAGGTATTTGGTGTCTCTTCCTGTCTCCATTAGCTCATATCTTATTAGTATTAAATGATATTCCATTACTGGAGGTACCACAGTTTATGCATCCATTCACTTACCGGAACACATCTTGATTGCTTTTGTTTTAGCAATTCTGCATAAAGCTACTATAAATATCCCTGTGCAGTTTATCTGTGTAGACATAAGTTTTTAACTCCTTGGGTAAATATCAAGAAGCATGACTGTGAGTTCATATGATAAAATAATGTTTAGTTTTGTAAGAAAAAGTCAAACTGTCTTCCACAACGGTTGTACCAGTTTGCATTCCCTTCATCAGTGAATGAGTTCCTGCTGCCCCAAATCCTCATCCGGAATTTGATGTTGATGTTCCAGGTTTTGTCCGTTCTAATAGGTGTATAGTAGTATCTCCTGGTTTTAATTTGCATTTCCCTGATGACGGATGATGTGGAGCTTCTTTTGATATGTCTGTGTGTGATCTGTTTGTCTCCTTTGCTGAGTTATCTCTTAAGGTTTGGGGCTCCTATTTTAATCAGGTTGTTTGCTTTCTTATGTTTAGTTTTTAGTGTTCTTTGTGTATTTTGGCTAACAATCCTTTATCAGATGTGCCTTTTGTAAATATTTTCTCCCAGTCTGTTACTTGGCTTCATTCCCCCATTTTTTAAGACCAAATAGTTTTGTAGAAAATGCGACACTGCTAGCAGTCTTAAATGCTATTTCTGTAGAGAACATTTCTTTGTTGCTGTGAGAGAAGATGTAGAGGTCAAGTGTTGATTCCTATCTCAGTCTAGCTTGAAAGAAAATGCAAATTAACATGAGAAGTAGAGAGCAATGATAGTGTTTAATTCTGTGTCAAATGCCATAGTATATTAAAAGTTCACAGTTTAGAGAACGTTAAAGTAGAGTGAGATAGAAGAGGGGATCTTGGTGGAAATTGAATTTACTAGGATTGGCCTTGAAAGCTAGTTGTATCTTCAACATTGAGAGAGACAGGAAATGGCACTCCAGCTGAGAAAATTTCAGTTTGTATAATAGAAGGAAAAAATGATTATGTTTTAGATTTAGATTCTGAATATTCTCAGGTCTGTAAAACTGGGTCTTCTTTACCTAGAGAGACAAGAGGTATAAATCCGACATCATTCTAAATGGTTCTGTTTAAAGCAGACGGTGGGTTGTATATTTCTCGTGGCATGCAGAAAGAATATATTATCCCAGCATATTTGCATTCAGTTAAATGCACTGTAACATTTTTTAAATGTTGCACATTGGCATTAAAAATATATACATGGTCTATTTTTCAAACCTATGGAATATTTGCCTTATATCTTATTAGGTAAATATACCTTGTTAATAATTTGAAATATTATAATATTACAATACTATATTATAAAATGTGTTTTTTAAATTTTAACTTTATTTTTTATGTCAGGGACCTATTCTAGTTTTATTATTCTTGAAGTCATAATATATTAGCATGATCCTTACACCATATCGCACATATGTTATTCCACGCAGGCATTTTTGAACGATGCTGATTTAAAATTTCCCATTGTGAAGTTCTTCCAAAAGCATTTTACATTTCAGATTTGAAAGTGCTGTTGATGTTTAGAGATACTCTCCATTTCACTGAAGTAATCTATGTATCTACGTTTCCATATGTGAAACTTGGGTTGTTAATCTGGCCTTACCATGATTGATTTCCATACCACCTCAGATGCAATTGCAAAGGACTAAAACTCAGATTTAAGCAAAGAAGAAAATGAAGAGGGATGGGGTGTAGAAGATGTACAGTATCACAGAGCTGATGGGTTAATTTCAGGCATAGTTGAATCTGGAATCTCAGATGATGCCAGTAGGAGTCTATTCTGCTTAACCTTGCTGGATTCAACTTGATTTCAGCTACCCACAGCTGGGGTAGAGAAGTTTGCTGCCCTGGGGTTGTCACTCTCATCTGGGGGAGCAGAGGCTATTTCTGAAAGGAAAAGGTGATATATAGACAAAGGAATAGGAGATACTACAGCAGGACCCATGGTTGGTCTTGAACACAATTATCAAGGTTTTTGAGATCTGTGTTGGTTGACATTCATCTTTTAAAGCATTAGGAAGCATTAAGCTTCACATGATTCAGAGGAAACCTGGTTCTTTTTCTCTAGACCAAAATTCAATTCCATCCTAAGACTCACGGACAATTTAAAAACTGATTTTCAAGACTTTGTCTTATAATTAGCACCCCTAGTATCAATATTTTGTGTAGTCCTTGTTGGACAAATCAGTTAAACATATCCCCCCTCAGTTTCCTTATCTGTTTAAGAAAATACTGATATGGTTAGACTAAGTAAGCTCTGAGTCATTTCTGTTTCTAAGAATATGTGATTCAATGATTCTTTCGCAAAGGTGCTTACAGGTTGGTTTTCTCTTTCTTTCTTTTTGAAAGTATGTATATTGGGTGGAAACTATCTGTGCTCTTGAAAACCTAAAGCCGATAGAACTTTTTGCAGTGATAGAAATGCTCCGTGCAGCTACCCAGCCCTTGTAATGTAACTGGCGTGACTGGGGAGAGGGATTTTCCATCTAATCTCCACTAATTTTGATTTCAATTAAAATAGCCACAACTCTGGGATTAACCTCTTTCAGCAAGATTTTTCAGAAACCATTGAAGTTAAAAACGGAATTCATCTGCTCTGCGATGAATTTAAAGCAGCAATTCACCCCTTTCTTTTCAGTCTCCTGCGCATAGCTACTCAAGCTATGACTCCGGCAAAAATGAGAGTGTAGACCGAGGTGCCGAGGACCTGTCGCTAAACAGGGGAGATGAGGACGAAGATGACCACGACGACCACGACGATTCTGAGAAAGTGAATGAGACGGATGGCGTTGAGGCAGAGCGGCTGAAAGCCTTTAATGTGAGTCCGGCCACGCTTCCCCGCTGTGGCTTACTTTTTACCACTTCACTTTCATGTTGTTGCTTGGTGGTAAATGTGGATATTCTAGAGACATGTCTGTTTAATTTACAGAAGGATTTAAAAAGTACATGAAACACTCTTTGCCAACCAGACACCAGAATTGCTGTGTTTTGTTTAGAATTTTAAAGCCAAATGTGAGCTGAAAACTGGATTTGTGTTGTGTGAGTATGCATGTTTACCTAGTGGATGAGGGGGCCTCAGCTTATTCCTCAGAAGAGTATGGCTGTCATCAGTAATTTCTCTCGCCTTCCTGGCTTAGCTAATTATGCATGACGAAAGAGTTGGTTGTTTTCAGAGATTAGCATACTGTGCAGCCTAGCAACGTAGCAGTCGCATTTATCATTAATGGAGAATTTTATGGGGTGCCTAATTGTCACAGTCTACTGTTATTTCCTGCTTTTTTTTTCCTACATAATAGTCTATACTTTTCTGTCTGTCTGTCTGTCTGTCTGCCTCTCTCTCTCTTTTTTCTCTCTGTTTTTTTGTTTTTTTTTTAATCCAGCCATTTAGAAAGCCTTTAAAGGGTGTTTGCTTAAAATTTCTGGCTTTCCATTGCAAAGTTCTCCAGTGCATAAAGCAGAAAAGAGTATTTTCCTATCGGTAATCAAGACAGGAAGCTAGGAACAGCAGAGAGCAGTCCTCCAAACCCTTCTCCTCTGTCTCCCTCTTGCCAACAGATGTTTGTCAGGCTGTTTGTAGATGAAAACTTGGACCGAATGGTCCCAATCTCTAAGCAGCCCAAAGAAAAGATCCAGGCTATCATTGACTCATGCAGGCGACAATTCCCTGAGTATCAAGAGCGTGCCAGAAAACGTATACGTACTTACCTCAAGTCCTGCAGGCGGATGAAAAGAAGTGGTTTTGAGATGGTGAGTTTTGAATTAAAACACAGCCCTAGATTCCATCCAAATCCCACATGTAAACCATGACACTATTTCTTTTTTCATCTTAGTGTCTTTTTTTATTTTTTCCATAATGTCAGGTCCAAGGGGTTTTTGTTTGCTTGTTTGTTTTTTTCCCCTTCTCCTTTTCATCTTCCTGAAGTATTTATCCCCTTTGTTATTCAATAAGGAGTGTCTGGTGAGACACAGGCACACATGATACCATGTCACAGGAAATGAGGGGGATCTGAGTTAAAAACCGATGAGAACCAGCGTCTCATTCACGTTTGTTTTCTGTCACTACTGAAGTGGATATAAGCCTAACCAAGTCTTCAATCGAAGCACAGGTTTTTGCTTTAGATGGCTTGTGAGAATGGCTTTCTCTGGAACCAAAGGAAATGGATAGAACCAACTAAATAATACTGTTTTCATACCAGTGGTTAAGAAGTAGCAAGCCTTGAAAGTAAAGATCAGGGAATGAAAATCCTCACGTCGAAAAGAAGGCTTTGTTGTCCTCTGTATTTGTGTGCTTGTGGATGGTAACATGAGCTTTTCTATTCATCTGGGCTTTACAGATGGATGAGATTATGTTGACATTAGGTTATTTATGGGTGGAAATCAGATATCCTTGGTTTTTGAACTTTATTCTATTTCATCTTGCTCTAATTGCTATTCTTAGAAATAGTGAGTATGTTTACAATGTATTTTTTGAATTTTTGTATTTTATGTATAGGAGCAGAAATGTATTATTAGAAATTTTCTGAAGCCATTTTTTTTTTCTCTTTTCTTGGCTTCATCAAAGCCAAGACTGCTGGTGTTTGTGATCAGTGCCTGTCATGTGTTAGTTGTAAAAGGACAGTGTCGGTGAAGCTAGGAGAGGTTTCAGAGATGTCATTTAAGAGAAGTAGGTTCTTAGATCTAAATGAAATGACAAAAGCAATACATCCACTGTCTATTATCAATTCTTCTTCACTGGATTCTAGAAATACTTTCAGTGTTGTTTTTTTTTTTCTTTCTTTTTGAAAGAGAGAGCAAGAGAGAGAGTGTGTGAGCGAGAGGGGCAGGAGCAGAGGGAGAAGGAGAGAGAGAATTTTAAGCGGGCTCCACACCCAGTATGGAGCCCAACACAGGGCTTGATCTCATGACCCTGAGATCATGATCTGAGCCTAAATCAGGAGTCTGATGCTTAGCCGACTGAGCCACCTAGGTGTCTGCCTTTGATATTCTTTAAAACAGTATGACCTTATAGACAGGCCATCTGCCTAGATAGTACCAAGCACAAGGTTCAGTCCTCCGAGAGCCTGGTTTGCAGTTCTGAATCCACCACCTTGTAGCTGTGTGACTGGCAAGTTACTTCAATGACCTGTACTCAGATGCTTCTTCTAGAGGTGGTAACTAATTAATAACTTGTGAGAATTATAAAAGTTGTCACTTGTCAAACCCTGCACACCATTTCTGACACATAGTAACCACTCAATAAATTTTAACTGTGAAAATATCTTCAAATAATATTTAATCTGTCATCTGATAAAAGCTTCCCGAAGTGTTTGTTTGAAACAATCACAGAATACTCCACTTAAGTACTTGTTTACTTCTCAGAATACTAACTATATTGAAGTCAGAGTTTGTACAGCATAAATCATTTTAAAATCAAATGGCACTGCTGTGCTTGATTAAATGAAATGATGACAGTAGAGGTATCAGAGAGGAGAGTTTGCTTGAAAAAAATAAAGCTATTTCTCCCATTACCAAATTATTTAAAAATTATTATTACCTACTCAATAGAAGAGAGATGACAGAGAGAAAGGGTATCTAAACAGGTATAAAAGCCTAGAGTCCTGGCACTGACCTTTGGTTCGGAACCACTCGACAGCTAATGTAAAATTGCAATCCAACCTAAATATGCCTCATTCAGAATACAATGTACAATGTATACTTTTCTTTTTCAGTAACAATTAAGGTGATATCATATTATCAGGGTTTTTATTTTACTAGCATCAGGCATTTCTATTTTTTTCCTAATCTTGTAATATTCTTTAAAGATTCTTTGGTGAAATTTCTTATTTTCCATTAATTATTCTTTATGAGAAAAATCATTGTCATGTAAGATTCTTAATTTCTCTAAGGCATATTTGAAACTTTCACAGGTTTTTTTTTTTTTTTAAGATTTTATTTATTTATTTGACAGACGGAGATCACAAGTAGGCAGAGAGGCAGACAGAGAGAGAGGGAAACAGGCTTCCTGCTGAGCAGAGAGCCCGATGCGGGGCTCGATCCCAGGACCCTGGGATTGTGACCTGAGCCGAAGGCAGAGGCTTAAACCCACTGAGCCACCCAGGCGCCCCCAACTCTGAGTATTTTTTTTTTAATTTAAATTTTTATTTATTTATTTGACAGAGATCATAAGTAGGCAGAGAGGCAGGCAGAGAGAGAGGAGGAAGCAGGCTCCCTGCTGAGCAGAGAGCCTGTTGCGGGGCTCGATCCCAGGACCCTGAGATCATAACCTGAGCTGAAGGCAGAGGTTTAACCTACTGACCCACCCAGGCACCCCAGGTTTTTTTTTTGATCGTATTTATTTACTTCAAAATTGGCATCTATTTTTTTATACACCCTGTGCTATGCATAGAGGAGAACAGAAGTTGACTAATTCAAAGTCAAGGAGTTTTACAAACTAATCACAAAGAAATATACTGTATAGAAATAATATTTTCCTGAGTTTTTGTTTTGTATTTATTCATTTTTCACTTATTCAATAATGTACATACCATTACACAAAGTAATAAGCAGAAATATTAGAGATTTCTAACCAGCTATTTAGGAAAATATAACATGTTCCTTCATATTATGATTTATTGAGGTGACAAGTTGTGGGAAGTGAAATACTTAAGTAATATAAGGCCTATTGTAATTAAATGTTAAGTGAACAACATGAATGAAAATTTTTATCACAGGTTGAGTTCTTTTTGTACATTTACTCAGGAATATTCTGTAAATAACAAATCTACCATTCAGTTGACACTTGGAGTCTTGATTTTTTTTTTTGTTTTTTTACGTGTATCACTTCATTGTCATGGGACCTGGGGAGGTTTATGTGTCATTTTGAATACTTTATCCTTATCTAGAACAGATAGGAAAATGTATAACTACGGCAGATAGTAATTACAACTAAATATTGTGAGTATTTTTTGCCCTCACTTTTTAAAATTTGATATAATATCCATAGTTTTTTTTAATTGAGACATTAAATAAATAATCTTCTATTGTGTTTTGTGTAGGTAGACATGGAAAAAAGCCTTGTTTTCAGCATGTAGTTGTTTTTATGTATAAATTATTCTGCAATACTTAACAGGTCAAACAATCAGCAAGAATTTTTTTATATATTTGTAAAATGAAATTCTTAAGTGTAGAATTGTTTTATTTTCATTTTTTTATTTATTTGACAGCATAAGCAGGGGGAGAGGGAGGCAGAAAGAGAAGCAGGCTCTCTTCTGAGCAAGGAGCTGGATGTGGGGCTCAATCCCAGGACCCTGGAATTATGACCCAAGCCAAAGGCAGATGCTTAACTGATTGAGCACCCACGTGCCCCATTATAGTTTTGCAGAAGTGTAGAATTATTTGGTAGGAGATTCCATCTTATAAAATGAAAGTGGCATTCAACAAGTTTATCTCTTCCAGTTACTTGGGGTGTCTCAGCCAGAAGACTCCTTAAGTAGAGTGAAACACAACATATTGAATTATGTTTTGTGTTGACTTTAAGAAATTCAAAAAATTTGAAGAGGTAATCCCATAGAAGTATTTTATCACAACATATATTAGTTGAGAATGTTGGCATTCACTTTTATTAATTTCCCACTGTCATTTATAAAATCTATGCATGGTAAAAAATAATTCTCCCTTAAGAATTTACATGTCAACATAAATACTTACTTACAACGTAAATACTGACTTCACTGAATGCATACAAATATTAGAGTAGGTATTTAAGTATTTTTATTTCACTAGAATTATCAAGAACCCACAGATCTTGATTGCCTAAGTGGCCAAAATTTCATGCCATCACTCCAAATAGTCTCTGTAATGGGCTAAGTACAATAACTATATTACTATATTTATATAACTGTAACTATATTATTCTGTATTATGATTCTTTTCTATACACTTTCACCAACTCACTGTTATAATCCTTTCAAATCATAAAATTCTCAGCATTGAATATCAAAGGGCATGTTTTATGAAAAATCTCTGTAAGTTTGATCCAGAGTACTGTTTAAGGTTTCATTAGATTTTTGGAACTCAGTGAATGAGTTAAGCAACCTTTAAATTAATCCTTTAACAAATACATCTAATTGTTACTGATTCAGTTGTGCAGTTTTGACTCTCAAATTACTTAATGAGTTTTCTAAAGAACATCTGTTGATGGTTCTAGGAAAAAAAATGTGTTTCTTCAAGATGTCCTGATCTTAAAGAGCACATGTAATGGATAAGATCATAAAAGCAAAACTTTATGAACAAGGGGGTATTGGGCCATACCGAAGTGTAGTCTGTGTTATGTGGTGTGATTTCTCCTTTTGTGTTCTGAGCTTATATTGTTAGAGACTGTTATACCATGCTGCCTATGTTTGCATGTATTTTTTTAATAAAACTCAAAGGATTATTTAGGGGAGCAATTGTAAGACACTTGCAGCCCATAATTCCTACTGTATCTCAAATTGTGCCACTCTGCCACAACAGATCAGGTAGCCTAGATATTTGAATTCAGTAAATTCAGCATCTTGAAAATTACCTGTTTATTTACTTTTTAAATATCATGTGATTAACTGTGTTTGAAGAAATAGGTGTGTGACATTTTGTAATATTTTGTTAAGGATGTTGTCCATGAGGCTGCTAACTATCCAGAGTAAATTACCTTATTTCAGAAACTTTTTTTAGAATGTCATACAAGAAAAAAAGTGCTTCTCCTCTGGAAAGAGAACATTTTTGTTTTCTCT